TCTCTTCTGAAGACTAACGGCAGTGACCGAAGTGTTGCGCCTCATGTTTGCTGGTGGGGCCATCACCCTGCCCCACTACTACTACTGCTGCTGCTGCTGCTGCTGCTACTACTACTACCACTACTACTACCAGTACTACTACCACTACCTACTACGACGACGATTACTACGACGAGGAGGAGGAGGAGGGCGACGACCACGACTACGCTGCCACCTCTGCTGTTGCTGCTGCTGCTGCTGCTGCTGCTGCTACTGCTACTGCTACTGCCACTGCTACTGCCGCTGCTACTCCCACTGCTGCTGCTACTGCTGCTGCTGCTGCTGCTGCTGCTGCTACTGCTACCACAGCCACTACCCCTACCCCTGCCGCTGCCACTGCCACTACCACTGCCATTACCACTGCCACTACCACTACCAATACCACGACGACGATGATTACTACCGCCACTGCACAACAAAGCCGAACACTGCTTCTGCTGCTGCTGCGACTGCGGGTCTTACGACGGCTCAACGATGCGTGATGCTCAAGGCAGTTTTTCCTCTCGTTGTAGTTTGTTGGGGCATCGACTTCTCGGTAGGCTATGTGGGATGCAATCACTTTAATCCGGCAGGGGTGCTGTGATCATGACATCTGTGGTTGTGGCATGTGCCCCGGTAGCCCTCGTCTGATCTATACCAACGTTCAGGGCAAAGAACTGCGTTATCATGTGGTTGAATTCTCTAAATGGCAGTCGGAGTACACGGAAGTGCTACAGTGTTTTTCTTGCTCGGTGTGTATCCCGTTGGGCAGCAAAGACTGTCATGGCAAGCTCTGGGCCCCAAGATTCCGGAGAAGAGGAAGCAGTGGATGTGCATTTGGAATGGCAAGACACAGCCGGCAGCCAGAGTTGCCAGTTATGTGTAGCCTCTACGACAACACTCGCGGATTTCAAAGCGCATTGCGCGCGAATGCTGCAAGTTGAGCTGGTCCACTGTCCGGATTTTAACGATGAGATGGACACCCAGCAGCTTTGCGAACTTGGCATAGGCCTTTCCGGCTTCCAGCAGCAACGTTTTCGTCTTCGATCTGTGTGCCTTCAGCTGTGTATTCGTAGGCAGGTTCAGACTGCTCGCTGCTAGCTCCGAGTGCCGTGCAGGTCTCTCGGAAGTGCCGGTGCTGTTGGATCTTGGCGCTCCCCGGCTGGAGGCAAAAAGTAAGCCGAGCGAGTCGCCCCCTGCGACTGCCGCTCCCAGGCATGGCCCTCTGCCGTAGCTTTGAGTGATGATTGAGCGGCCGTAGCTTCGTGTTGTCTGTCGCCTGGCTTGATCTCGGAAGGAAGCGCCGTGCGCCTTTGGCAGTTCGCCAGGCAGTGGCAGATGCTTCCGACATACGCGAGGGCTGGCTTTTCCTGGGAGGCCAGATGGCCGCGAGCAGCCTGGACGGTTTGCAGCAGATAGGCATCACGCACATTCTGAACTGTTGTGAGCGCGTTCCCTGCAAATTTCGATTCTTGGCCTGTCAGTCTCAGGGTTTGGAGATCGTGTGAAAATGACAGGGTTCACTGGTGGTGACTAGGTGAAATGGTCTCTCCCCGAAAGCAGAATTTCAGCTGCCTTATCATGTGAGGACCCAGGATCACCTACAAGACAGTGGCTGTCATGGACACAAAAAGTCCCCTGGCTTTGCGGTTTCCGCGAGCTTAGCTGAGTGTTCGTCGTCGCTTTTTGGGTAGACTGCCTTCCTTGACAGTGAAGTCTGAGAGTCGCAGACCGAGGCTCTGACATCCGAGAGTTCATACCGGAAGCTTGATTCAGCAAAGGGTAACACCTATCTCGCAAGGCGGTTCATGTCATAACTCAGTGAACTAGGTGGAAGAGCCAAAATTGGTTCTGATTCCTGCGTCAATTGGCGGTTAGGAAGCTTTGACTTTCATCGACGATGTCGTCGCTGCTGGTGGCAAGATCTTGGTCCATTGCATGGTCGGGGCATCGCGAAGCGTGGCTTTGGTTCTGGCATGGCTGGTCTCACGATGCCAGATGCCCTTGAAGCAGGACTTGTTGTGCCACGTTGTTTGAGAAATCTCGTGCAGTGCGGTGGTTAGTGCTGTGGACCTGGAGTGTCTTGCGAGGCTTTTCAGGAGGTGAGATCAAAGAGACACCAAGCAAGACCAAACCGCAGTTTCTGTGAGCAGCTGATGGAGTTCGAGAAAGACACACTTGGCAGTTGCAGTGCGACTCTCGCAGATTTTCACCACAAGTAGTCTTCGAGTGGGTCCTTCATGTACCGATCGCCTTCATGTCTACTGAAGCCGCGAGCTTTTGTCAAGCTAACTGGGTCGTTTCACCAATGTGCACGCGGACATCCTGAATAAGAAAATCTGGATGAAAGATGATGAAAGCTGGAATAAGAAGCTTGGTGTTGGGGATGCCAGCTCAGGTTTGCTTCTGCCCAGATCCAAAGCACTTTGGTTGCAGCTTATGAACCTAGATCTACCACGGCGTTTGCTGCAGGTCGGGTTCGATGTTTGGCCCAGGACATCAGGTGCCTCCTTCACTCCAATTTTCGAGTCATCCAGCAACGGAAAGAACTTTGCCTCGGTCAATGCTGGAAATCCGAAGAAGTTGAAGGCCAGCAAATCGTTGGCATTCCTCTGTTTGGCGCGCGCACACACACACACACACCCACACACGGCTGTGCAGCCATCAGTTTGCATGCTGAGGTAGGAGGTGGAACAATCAACGGGCAGTTCGCACAGGACTGCTTCAGTTGAATTCGGTTGCCCAGCTGTGTGCAAACGGTTTTTCGGCCGTGTGCGTCCGTGGAGGAGCTGCACCGGGTGGCTGGTCATGATCCTGACAGTTACAGTCCAGCACACGAGGTCTGTCGTATTGTGCTGAACTCCCGACGTAAGGGAAGCAATTACTGTGTGAAGACCTGTAGTAGCTCTAGGAGGAAAGGAAGAGTACCAACATAGCAAATCGACTCACCAATGCTACTGGTACCAAGACCCACGAGGGCCATGAGAGCAGCACATGTCGTGAGGGCAGACTCGCAGATGAAAAGTCGGTGGGGACAGTCGAAAGCGCCCGAAGACCTCAACACCCTGGATAACGTCGGTGTCACAAGGCTTAGACCTGTAAGAGGGGTGACGAGCAATGCGAGAAATGATCTCAGCAAGAGAACAAGTGGAGAAAGGGAACAGTAGCAGGAGCAGGACAATAAAACCTGTACTAGTAGCCAGAAGAGGAAGCAGAAGGAGCGGGAAGAATACTTAAGACTGGTTGTTGCTCGGTGGGGCAAGACTGTCAGGCATTCAGGCTTCAGGCCACCAGCTGACTGATAGCACATGCTTGCATGCATATATGTGCACACATGTGAAGACAGACGGTCGAGACAGACGCAGGCTCTGCTTCGCGTGGCTGTTCAGGCAGGCACGGCAAGGTGCCCTTGGCCAACTTCGGTCGAGGAACGTGCAAAGTTCCATACACGAAGTTCAGTCACTTGCGGAACAGTTCTTCTGAGCTCACAGGGTTGTGTCAGACAGCCGCGAACGATCTTGGCCGGCTGCGCGGTCGATGTGTCCAACACGTTCCAAACACGTGATACCTGATGCGATCTGCGCCAGCCGATCACGGCCCGTCGCAGGGCATGAAATCATCAAGCGCAACAGGCATGGCCTGGTTCAAGCCCCTGCTTCGCTGCGGTTGCCACCATGCCGCGACCCCAAATGTTTCGCGACAAAGTGCGGAGAGGACAACGAGATGTAACTGTGCTTGTCGAGGTTTGGAGGCTGCCTTCATCTACCTAGGAAGGACACTTCCCGAGGCCCGGCATTTGCACGCGGTGTGTGCCGGTCGAAACGACTCACTTCCGAAAGCTCGCATTTTTTCTGGACGGGTGACTCGTTCCGGAGGCTGAGCAGATCGCGGGCGACTCCGGCCGGGGTGGTCTCGTGATTCTGGAGATCTTGGCAGCAGATTTTACCTTCAGAAATCATTAATTGCTGGAGGGCCTGTGCCACGTAGACTTGCTGCCCAAGTAAAGAGCAGTTGAGTCCAAACTGCGAGGACATCTTCGAGACAAAGTCACGGCCGTACCATGACCAGAATGTGGCCATGGTGTGCTTCAGCCGCGATCAGCTGGCATTGTGGGGGAATGGGGTCGGTTGATTCATTATAATCAAGTGCCCCTGTGCCGGAGGTACACAGTAGGTCCTCAACGAGGATTCGAGCCTGATGATGCGACGTTTCTGTCGACGCTTGGATGCAATTGACAACGTGGCGCGAAATGAACGATGGAGGAGGCTTGAAGTGCAAGGTTGTGCGCAGGTGCACAGCGTAGCGATTCATCTTGCCTTCGCTGTGGCCAATACAAGTACTCTGTCTTGGATTTGTGCGACGTTGCAGACATAAAAACGCCTAGGAAAGTGCGCTTAGTCGGCCGCAATGTTGCAGCCGCTTGCCACGACTACAACATGCAGCGGTCGCGCTGCCCTCAGCTTATCGAACACTCGCTTGCCTTGTGTTCAGCTGGTTGACGGCCTGAGCTCGGAATGGTGATAATTACATACATGCTGGCATGCCTTCTTGTTCTTACTTTCTAGCATTGGGCCGCGGGGCAGCTTCCGTCCGAGCCATGTGCTACTCGCACCGCAAAGCCAAGTCACTGTCATAGCAAGTCCGTCACCTTTGACGTGGACTTGTGGTATGCGCGTGCGCGTATGACCCAGGTTTTCAAAACCCCATTGTTGCCCGAATCTACAGACCCGATCCATGTCCACCCGAGCCTGATGGTGATGATGATGATGATGATGATAATGATGAGAATGATGATAGTGATGATGATGCAACAATAACAGCGAAGGCTGCAGCGCAACCGGTTACTGACGGCATTGACCAGACATGTTTCGGTCCCTCCATTTTGTCTGTACATGGCATTACACGGCTATGCATGGCATGGACAACTTTGTATTAGGCTGCGTTATCACCTTTTCTTGTAGAACATTCGCTTGCGTTGTGTTGAACTAATTGCAAACCTCGCCGACGAAGTCGCCTTGAGGTCGCAGGCGCCGGCAATCGACCAGGTTCGCCTTTGTTTGGTCAGCGGAGGCAAATTCGCCGAGCGAGTGCCCAAGGAGCGCCATGTCCGTTTGGAACGGGAAGTTTGCAGAGTTGTGATCCTTGCAGGAGCACGTGGCTCGACAGCTCGTGCTCGGCGTGATGGATGTGCAGCTGGCAGAGTGGATCAGACCTGAAGCCATGCCTGAGATTGAGTTCGCCTACGACGGTGATGTGTTCCGCTTCTTGCCTAATTTCAACGTTTCAGATGCAAACTTCTTGTATTTCAAAAATGCGGAAGCACGACCTCATGTCAACGGTGTTTCTTGCAGGTAAAGAATGGGACGCCGTGGTCGAGAGAACCTGATGCTAGCTCATGCCGGCCAGATCCGGCCAGTATTGCAAGCAGAAAAATATGTACGCGGATGCCCACGTTTGCCTGCCGGAAACTGGGCAAGTTTTTGCATCGAGAATGAACTCAATTGCTGTCAAGGTCAGGGAGTCGGCTCCGCGCACATGTGTTGCACGGGCCTGAATTCGTGACAAGTTCGTTTTGAGGATCATGCTCAGGTTGAGGCCACAACGCCCCGTTCAATCAGCAGGATGTTGAGGGATGGGAGCGAGAGAGAGACATAGAGAGAGAGGGGAAGTAGCCATTTTGGCTCAAGGTGC